CTTTATCTAGACAGTCATCCCTTACATTATTATCCCTTTGTGAGCCCTTTAAGCCTTTATATCCTTTGTTTCTTAAGCCACATTACAAACTGAAGTGAAAAATCAATTAATTCCACACCCTCGAGATTTACTGAGCATTGATTTCACTGTGATGTTATGTTTAAGTGTGGGGGTTTGCGCGAGACATGCAAAAATTTAAGTGTGGGGGAGGGTGACCATCTGATTTCTTTCTGCTATATGTTCTGAATGTATTGATTAAAAAAACAAAACACAAAAAAAACAAGAAAAAGAGAGAAAAAGCAAAAAGAAAAAAAATGTTTATTTCTATCTTTTCATTATCTTTATTTTATTTTCCTAGTGTAGCTTTTAACATTTTCTCTAGTATATTTCTGGGTGTTTAACCTTCTTTTCCATATTTCATCCATACCTTCACCTCAGCTCCATTACAACCCTGCATAAAGCCCTCTTGATTTATGCATGCATGTGTTAGTAGCATTGGACAAGTAGAACTTGAGAAAGCCTATGGTAGAATGATTTTCTTCAGTAGATTTGAGTGATACACTGATTACCTGATACACTTGAGAGAAAAATATTGAGAGCATTCTGTAAGGAACCATTTTCTGTAATTGGCATGTGCAGTTGAAATTAGCAGGTCTCGTGATTTGAGATTAGGAAATTTCTGTCCTGATTGGTTTATCTGTTGAAGATTTGTGATCTTTGTGTATTTTCTGTATGCTTTGTAATTGTTAGAAAGGATTGGTTGGTCTTAGTCTTTGCTTTATGTTTTAGTTTTTGCCCAGGAGTGCAAAAAGATAAGTGTGGAAAAATTTGATAACACATATTTTGTTACACTTAATTTTTACTCTTGCTTAGTATTTTTAGAATTTATTTGAGTTAAATAAAGGTCTTTTGGGTCAAATCAGAATTCTAGATTTTAATTATGTTTAATTGATTTTCGTCAGAATTTTTCAAATTTACACTACTTTCATATTTTGGCCATATCTCACTCTAAAAATGTCTTATTGACTCCATTTTTGTTGCCTTTTGCAGCTAACATAAAGGGATACAATTGCTATTTCATCCACTGAAGCCTAATTCGGACGAGGAGATGGTCGAAACCTGAGCCCAAGATGACATGTTTTTTTTGAAATTTTATTTCGGTGTTTGAACTTGTAAATTAGATTAGAACCCAATGTGTTTAGGGCCCAAAGTCATGTTTTAATATTTTATTTTATTTTATTAAATTTTTATGTTGTGTATGGGCCGAAGTGGTGGAACCTTAACCCGTTCTGAATGTGGGTTATTTAAGGGAAACTTTAGGAAACCTTTCGGCAGTTAGATTTGGAGAGTTTGACGATTGACAAATTGTCTTTAGATTTTTCAATTGAATTGTGTTCTTCTTCTTCATCTTTTCTTCTTATTCTTTTTAATTTTTAATTATGCTTACCTTAGCCATGCGAGGCTAAGAACCCTTTAATCAACCTAAGGGTAATTGATTACATGGATTAGTCTTGAGGATCTGCGTTTTCCTTTAAATCAGATTCGTTTCTCTTTCCAACTCAGATTGATATCGTGCGATTGTGGATATTCAATCTGAGATTGGCGATTGCGATAATGGGAAGAGATTAATCATCAGATTTGATGATTAGATTGATTAACCCTATGACCTTAAGTCAAACGGGCTAATACTCTGCGATTGTATGTGTAGAAGCACTGTATTTGATCAAACTCTAAGCGATTGCTTAGAGAGGGTTCTCAATTGAAAACAAGGATTCTGATTCAATTGAGATCAATCACGATTCTGGTATCTTTTTATCCGAGGAAAGACGTCCTAGGAATCCTAGCCTTAGGTTGGTTATTTTAAATTACGATTTCAATTTCATCTTTTTACGTTCTGTTTTATTTCAAATTGAGCAAACAAAAAAAACCCCATTTTGTTTTCTATTTTAATTTGCGATTTTAATCCTTGCGATTTCCTTGAGAGACGACTCAGGTTGACACTAGATTTTATTAATTTGCGCGAATTCGACAGCTCGTGTCAATTATGAGGGTGGGATTTAATCCCAATTTGTTTGGTTTACCGTTGTTACGCTGTCCGATTTTAGACTCTGTTTGGATTGACACTTGTTGTCATATTCAGATAGTCAAGGGCCATTGCACATGGTCATGGATAATAGATGAAAGTTTAGAAAAGAAATTATGACTGATGCGAAAAAAGGGACGTAAGGCTATGTATCATGTGAAATGAGATGAAGAAAAGGAAAAAGTTAGCTTGTATTTTCATAAGCTACTGCAAGATTAGATTATAAGTTAAGTCTTCTGCTGAAGCATGTTTTATTATCATATGTATGTTAATTGAACCGGCTTAAGACGGGAATGTTACAATTAAACCTAACTTACTAGTGAAGGTTGTTATATAAATGGGTCATGCAACTTTTCATGGGCCTACAGCTTGGTCTGCCTTTGGCTTGACTTAGCTTGACCTGTTTTCAAAATTGTACAGGCTTGAGCCCATCAAAAGGCTTTTTTTAGAAATCAGGTTATAAGCCAATTTTAGCAGGCTTGGCCTCCAAGCCCGGTTACTATTTTTTAATAAATGATATTTTTTTTAATATAATAATAGCTTATTATTATTGATGCTTATTGTGCTAATTTAGCTTAAGAGACCATTAAAGCATTAATTTACGGTGGAGATTGGTACGCAATAAGTATAATTTAAATAAAAAACAAAAGGTATAATTTAAATTGTTTTATAATTGGATGATTTTTTAATTAGATATTAATACGAATATAATGTAATTTATTTCCTATGCAAGATGACTCAAACATCACATGCTATTAATTTGCTCAGATGAAGGTGCCTTAATCGATCAAGTCATGCGAATCACAATTCTAATTCTTTTGGTGGTGTGGATAAAAAAAAAATCAACACAATCTGAATCTCTTGACAAAGTTTTGATGATTTTATTGAATACTTTATTGTCTTTAATTTTTAGCTTTATAATCATTACGATTATCATTTTTGTTGAGTGAGATTTTTTAATACATGTGAGTGAATATATTTATTTAAAAAAATGTAATCAAGCATTCTACTTTCTTGTCATTTTTTTTTATTTCTAGAAACATAGTTAAATTATTAATATTTTGGGTTGTTGTGTCCTTAGAAAAAAAATATTCAATCAAGTTAAACATACAAAATCAACAAAATGATGATAACCTATATTTTACAAAGTAAAATATGTCATTTAACTCATTTTTGACAGCTTGATAAGTTTGACAAGCCAGACCAAACCTTGTATTTTCTAAAAACAAGTCAGACCAAGTTTATAATTTGACTTGTATAAGACTAACAAGTCAAGCTTGAAATAATTTACATAAATTTAACATATTTAGGCTAAGGGAAAAATGTTTATCCTTTTAAATGACACAACTTATATCCTTTCACTCTCACAAAGAAGTGAGACCTACACTTTTATTTTTTTGTCAACTCTCTCTTCCTTTATCTATCTCTTTCTCTCTCTTAAAATGACACAACTTTACATCTTTTAAAATGACATATACTTTACCCTTAGGCTAAAGCCTGCTTAACCTGGTTATTTTTTTTTTTTTTTTTTGGAGTTGGTAGGAATCGAATACAACACTTAACACTCACACACACCAACCACTAGGCTAGCCCTAGTGATCACCTGGTTCGTTTACATCCTACCGAGACTCCACTCGAAACCAAACATTAATCATTTCAAATGTTACTATAGAATCGTGTGTGCATATTGCGAAAATCAAAACATTCCCAAAAAAAAAAAAATGCAGAGAATAGACCAAATATTAAAGGTTTCAAATCGTGTGTGCATACTGCGAATCAACCAAACAAGCCTAAAGGAGATCCTGCAAGTCAAAATGTACATGCTGATCCATCTGCTTCAAACCAATCGTTCTCATTGACTTCTTTTTATTATTTCTTGGTTTCTTAACCAAAGTGTAAAAAATCAATTTAACTTAAAAAATTTAAGCTATTAGATCAAAATTTTATAATATTTAATTATTTTTTATTAATAAAATGCAGCCGTAAGAATTGAACTCATAACTATTTAGTCGTATCGATTTGAATATAATGTAAAAAATTAATTTAATTCAAAAATTTAACTTCAATGAAATTACATTAATAATTTTATATTTTTCTAATAAAAGTTGATTGATTCATTGAATGTAATCTTATTTAACTTTCATCTTCTGTATATCCGATTTTAAAATTAGGGGATAATAATGATAAACCCATAAAATAATTTATAATATGTGTGTCTACAGAAAAAAAAACCTCGACTTACTTCAAGATGGCAATTGCGTTAGCTAATGTGCATCGGTGCATGTATGTGTTAGGTAATGTTCACCATTTTTTAAAATTAAATAAATTGCAGACGTGCTCGCGCGTGTCTATTCAATATACATAATATTGTAGAAGTGCATTTTTAATATGGCAAATTCAGGAGGGTCAATGCAAAATATGAACAACCACAATTTCTTTAACTCAAATACAAGCCAGGTTAGACAGGGTAACAGAGTAGGCAACTCCACAGTATGAAAGTTGCAACTTAAAAATCACAAAAAAAAAAAAATTTGTTTTTTTATGTCAAATTCTTTTAATGATTTGTTACATAAAAAATAAACTCATTTCAAAAAGGAAAAGATGCAGTATATATAGTTGTAATTTACTTTCTCTCTCCACAACAAAACTGAAGAAAACTTAACCATGAATTCAGGATATTAATGATTCTTAATATGAAGTCTGTACTGATATGGGTGTTGGGAAATGCCAAATTGGGATGTGCATCTCATTCAAATACTTACGAAACCAGTAGCACATGATTTTACATTTTGGCCTCAAAGAGAGGCGCGAGGAACGCACTTGAAGAGTCTTTCCCCACACTTTCCTTTACTTTCAGCACAAAATCACAAAAATCAAAACAATCTCTATGCCCATATCTTCAACACTCCTTGAGGAAATGGCCTTGAACAACAAGTCCAAGAAAACCATTTCCCCTTCAAATTATTATCTTTGCACCACCCTTTTCTTCATTGTCCTCTTCACCATTTTTTCCCTCCTTCACACCCCAACATACAACACCATATGCACCACGACCCTTGACTCCAAAGCTAAAACTTTTTCAGGTGATCTTCCATTAGCTGAATTTGCATGGAACCACCTCCAATTTTCTGAACACAATCCACCACCCTTTGCTCTTAAAATTGCTGTGTTCTCTAGAAAATGGCCTAGTGGCACAACCCCTGGTGGCATGGAGCGCCATGCCCACACCCTCCACACAGCTTTATCTCGCCGTGGTCATCAAGTTCATGTCTTTACATCTCCACCCCAAGATGGAAGCAGTTCAATCTCATCTTCAGTAAACAATCATCAAAAGGGTGAACCTTCTTCCCCTTACATCCATTTCCATGAAGGTGAACCCGGTAAGTGGAGCTATAACAAGGCATGGGAACTATTTGATGAAGAAAATCAGGTAGAACCATTTGATGTTGTTCACTCAGAAAGTGTAGCACTACCTCACTGGCTAGCTCGCAACCTTTCAAACCTTGCAGTGTCTTGGCATGGCATAGCACTTGAGAACTTGCAATCAAGTATTTTCCAGGACTTGGTTCTTGGACCCAATGAGCCTATAACCCCTTTTCTCAACAAGAGTTTACAAGATCTTGTCCCTAAGGTGCTGAATGAGATAAGATTCTTCAGGGATTATGCACATCATGTAGCTATAAGTGATAGTTGTGGTGAGATTCTAAGGGATGTCTACCAAATTCCCACTAGAAGAGTCCATGTAATTCTCAATGGGGTTGATGAGGGTGACTTCAGAGAAGATGTAGAATTGGGAAGGGAACTCAGAACTAAAATTGGTATTCCAAGCCATGCAAGTTTAGTACTTGGTACAGCTGGAAGATTAGTTAAGGACAAAGGCCATCCTCTGCTTCATGAAGCATTCTTGAGGCTCATAAACAAGCATCCTGATGTGTATTTGATTGTTGCTGGTTCTGGACCGTGGGAGAATCGGTACAAGGATTTAGGAAGCCAGGTTGTTGTTCTAGGATCGATTAATCATTCCATGTTAAGAGCATTCTATAATGCTATTGACATTTTTGTCGATCCCACACTTAGACCACAAGGGCTTGACCTTACTTTAATGGAAGCAATGATGAGTGGGAAGCCTCTTTTGGCATCGAGAGTTCCAAGCATTAAAGGTACTATTGTGGTTGATGATGAATATGGTTACTTGTTCTCTCCCAATGTGGAGTCTCTCTTGGAGTCACTCGAAGCAGTGGTGAAGGAAGGACCACAGAGGCTAGCAAGGAGGGGAAAGGCTTGCCGTGAATACGCTGCATCAATGTTTACAGCTAGAAAGATGGCATTAGCATATGAAAGGTTATTTTTGTGTATAAAAAATCGTACATTTTGTTCCTATCCTTGAGGCTTAGGCTAGAAACTCCTTCCTATTCCTTTCTTTCATTCATTTGTTTTTCTTTTTTCAAGCGTATGTTTGTGAGGTTTTTTCTGTAGCTTCTTTTCTCCTTGTAATAGAAGTCAGACCATACAGGTTTTTACAAAAGTTCTTATAATAGAAAGAGCTTTTTTTTTATAATAAAGAAAAAAACTTAAAGCCAAAAGCTCTCAGGAAAAGTTTTTTTTTTAAGTTATATAAACTTTTTTTTGAAATGTTTTTTTTTTTTTTTGAAATAAACAGCTTTAAGTTCTTTTTCTTATCTAAAAATTTTATATAATCATGTAACATCTTATAGCTTTATTTTTAAAGTTCTATTTTTAGCTTTAGATTAAAAAAAAGGATGTGTCAAACATGCTCGAAAGTATAGATAAAATTATATTCAATTTTTTTTTAAACATTTATCAATTTGATAGTTTTTTTCATAATTATAATTTCTTGAATCACTTTCCCACGTTATGGCTCCTATTTGGATGACCACGTCCTAATGTTGCAGTAGACAATAAATAAAGGAGCTTTACTACAAGTTTAAACAAAATAAAGTCTCATCAAACAAAGGGCAAACTGAGTCTCATATTATATGTGGAGGATATACAGTTAAACATTCAGTGATACTAAAAAGTGAACAGACGCTTCTTGTCTAAAGTTGCAACAAAGCACAAACGCCGAAGATTCAAAACAACATAAAGATGATAAAAAAATATCTGCCACAGCCATAGCATGTGATGAAATAATCGAATTCTCATAGTCCATGAAGCAGACATGTTGGACACTTTTCAACTAATGTCCAATTAAAAAATTAAATTTTGTGCGAGTAATTTTAAGAAAGATCAATCGATTAAGAACCATTCCACAACAGATACTAAAGGAAGATTGTAAATTTCATAACGCAGTCCATGTCTTAGAGGATGAATTCACAATAAGAAGTAAGTAGTTTTTATACCATTTAAGAAATGAGATTTCTTGCAACCTCTTACAACCAATTTATTCGTCAGCACTATACGTTAATATTTCTAAAGAGCCTTAATATTTTTAGAACTCAATCTGCAAGACTATAAATAGGCTCTTTACTGCTAAAACAAGTAGATTGATCGAATTATGCATTGGAATAGAAAACCTTTGGAGAGTTTTCACATTCAACTAGCTTAATTCGAACTAGAGGTCAGAGGAGTAATTTGCTTAGTTCGAAACAAATCAGTGCTGCATATTTTGTGCACTGAGACAGTAAAACAAAAATTTTATCCACTTTAGTTCTAAATCTTTAACTCTCCTCTATATATAACACTAGAATAGGTATTTCCTCAAGAATCACCCTAGCTTTAGCTCTGCTCCTCTACCTCCGTCTCCAAATGCATACCTATACAAGTGAAGCTTCTGGTACTTTTCAAATGAATTCTTCCACGCTATAATCTTCATGCATTATCAATAACAAAAGTTAAGACACAATCGATTGTGTTGAAATACGGTGTTTCTCAAAATGATCATATGCGTGTTTAGTTCTTAAGAACAACAGCAAACTAGAAGCTAGTCCCAGGACAGAGATGCATCCCCACCAGACAAATGTCCAGAAGTAGCACTGCCTTCCCATGCACACTACTGAGTCAGACATTACCAAGTTTCCTGGTATTGAGTATGCATTGGCATCATAAACTATTGCAGCCAGAAAACCGTAGAGAAGTGATCCAATTGGAATATTTGTTATGAGAATGTTGTGATTGACGCCTACACTGTTAGGTCCAAACAGCTCAGATGTAACTGACACAGCAGCTGCAAATATGAAACCTGAACTCAACCCAATTAATGCAGTGCCTGTATGCAGTGCCAGAGGACTGTCTGATGCAGCAAGCAAGAAGAACGCAATCGGGGTTGGTATGAGTGCAACGGTTAACCAACCAGTCCTTGCAAAGTAGAACTTACTGCAATGCACAAGATATTATCATCATCATTACTGCTACAATTTTATTTCAGAGATTCACCTCTAATTCAAGACAAAATGCAAAATGAAATTATCTTCCTCTATAGAAAGCTCCAGAAATATAATACATGACAGATTGAAGGTGATACTTACTTACGAATATAGTCTGGCGCAGCTGAAAGCAAGCGGCCAAAAAAGGAAAAGGATGCATAGAGCGTGACAAGTGTAGAGGTATTTGAACTCAGGCCCAGTGATTGGGCAATCTGTCCCAGATTATTGCTATAGACAAGACCAATTGTACCTCCGCAGAAGTATGTAACATAGTAAAGCCAAAAATCCAATCTGCGGACAATCACTGCTGCTGAGTGTTCTTCTCCTAGCATTGCCAACTGATCCTCGCCAATCATCCTCTCACAGCACACATCACTATCTTTTGTCTGACTTCCAAACATGTATCCATTGTCAGTCAGCAGGCTGTAAGTATCCCCATTGCCAACAATACTATTGTGACGGCTAGTGAGTTCTTTATGCAGCTCGAGATCATCATCATGAACAAGAATGAAGCTGGAGCCTTCCATCCGAAAGCTGGAATGGATGGCCTGGCGAAACCAAGCCCGAGCATATACAATACCAGGAATACCTAATGGGAAGATGAGGAGGAGAATAGCTCCACCAAAATAGAGCCGCGCTGAAGTTGCACCAGAAGTAGATGAGCCAAAAAGGAGGAGATAAAGCCCAGTCAAAATAGCTAAGAAATTCAATATTAGAAATACCAGTGAGTCCCGGTTAACTGCATCTGGAGGGAGAGGGTCTAAAGCCGGTTGGCGAAGAATTGGAACAAGTGCAGCAATGCAAATGAGAAGGGGAACAAGAGCATTCAAAAGCAGATACACTGTATCGGATGAAGGGTCTATTGAATTGGCAGCAAGGGTGTAGAGTGCTGCACTTACACCATTAAAACTCACAGTGAGTGATAACGCAAGAGTTCGGTTAACTGGGAAATTCCTAATGCAGAGAACAAAACATACTGTGTTGAACCAACAGATGCTACAGCCACTTAAAAGACACAGAAAAAAGACCTGCAATGCAATGAAGGCTATGAGCAAATTTTCTGTATATTACAATCCAGTGAGGTTTAAGAGTCAATCAGACAGGGTTTAGTTACCAGATGTAATCACAAAATTATTCAATCTCATTGTTTTCATGTATTCCTTACAGCTATAGAACTTCTATGATAAAGAATAAAGCACATCTTTACAGAGAAAACATGGAAAGTAAAAGAAGTTAAGAAACTTCCAGCTTAAATCAGATAATTAACTACTATTTTTATAAGAAAAAGGAAGTGAGCTCGGTGTTGATTAAGAGCTAACAGATGCAAGCTACAATTGAATTTAACAGGTCGCTACTTGCAACAGATTTATAAATAGATTTTAGAATAGTGTATAAATGGATTCGATCATGGCATCTCATGCAATTCTTGCTCTGAGGCATGCAATGAAAATTACGAGACACAGGTTCCAAATATACCGGATTGGTTGATTTTAGTATTTTCAACAGCAGTTTTGACAATCCGCAGAAATTGCATTTTGATATTAATATAAAAACATGGATTATATACCCTTAATTTAAAACTAATGATTAAGTAATTTAGATCCAAAAAATTCATCGTCATACCAGGGTTTTTCTGGTGCAGGTAGATAAAATGAAAATTATTGCAATAGTACTTTCTATGCTTCCGTTTGATGTGCCACACCACAATCATGTGCAGCCATATTATCATTTTTATGTTGTTATGAAAAATAATAAATTAGTGCAGAAATTGACCTGGAGAAAAATTTATGTATGTTAATAATTTATTAGTCTAACCATGGCTGCTCTATTATTTAAAAGAACCACGTCATTTTGGTCTGGAACCATCATTATGTTGATGGGACCACAAGAATATAGTATGAATCTATTGCCGCCAGTTGAAGATTACGGGTATAAAATAACATGCAGGGAAAACCAGATCGCAAAACACAACATGCCAAAATACTAAGATAATTATAACATTAAAATTTTCCTAAAGCCGGTAAAATAATATGACCCCTTCAAAACTGGGAAATCCTGACGACAACAGTATCTCAAATATATGTGCCAAAGTTACTAGATTTTATCAAACAATAAATTATTTGTTATCAAAATTTTGGTGTCCCAAAGAGTTCTTTGGAAAACTAACCATTTTCTTCACTACCACATAAGCTCCTTCACTACCTCATAAGCTCTTTAATACTTGAAGTAATGTCTATGACGTTTGGATCAAAATTTGGATGTGACTATCCACCCCATTTTATTTATTTTTTTAGATACCAACAAGTGAGTCTTAATACGCTCGACTAATCCAATTTCAGGTTTGAGGTTCTTTACTCTAATCCAGACGACTCTCAGTAATTGAACCCACTACCTATGGAGCAAGTTAAATCCTAAGATCTAGATCGGTCGCCACTAAATCCCTATATCTAGATGGGTCGCCAATAAATCAACAAGTTTATAATCTTCCAGAAGAATTAACGTTTATGAAAAGAACCAATTCAACCCAAAAGCTTAAATTATTGGGTGAGGCTATATCAATAGTTTTTATATATCTCAACACACCACTGGACTTAAAGGGTAGACAATGCACAGGTCCACCTACCTGTGCGAAGAAAGTAATTCCATTTGAAAGAAAGTGGGGAGCGGTGAGAATCAAACCCGGGACACGAGGCTCTGATATCATGAAAAAAACCAATTCAACCCAAAAAGCTTAAAGTGATAGGATAAGGCTATATTAATGGTTTTTATATATCAACATTTTAAAAAAACACCAATACGTTGACAATAAATTGGATAGCCATCTCCTACCACACTGGCCCCATTTCCATTTTCAGGTCTTGACAATAAATATTCCTTTAAAAAAAAGATAAAAAAAAGAGGTTTCGGTCTCAACTCTCTACCCATATCGAAGCCTAAGTAAGTATCGAATACTGCAATGCAAATTTTTTTAAGGGAAAAAAAAAAACGACGATGATATGAAATTTCATAATTACTAATCCATACAAAAGAATCAACTTTACTCCAAAAATAGTAATAAATAAAATAATAGGTGGAAGAAGAAGAAGAAGAAGAAAATTACCAGAAAATAAGGCAAATTGATGAAATGGTTGATGAGGAGCCACTGAAGGCCATAACCAAGGAAACCCATGAAAGCAGCGATGAACATGACGAGAGAGAGTGGAAGATACATAAGAGCAAGGCCAGAGGACCAACCGAAAACCTTACCCATGTCGTTGGCGGTTGCGAGGTAGTTTAATTGAACCTGGGAGATGTTGAGTGCGGATTTCAAGGTAGATGAGTACTGCGAGAAATCGAAGTTGGTTCCGGTGAATGCCTGAATCCAAATGGTGGCGACAAGGATCATCCATTTCCGTGACTGCCCCGCCATCAGAAGAAGAAACAGTCGACGTAGCAGGCGCACGACGGTGGTGGTTCGGCGCGGCGATTCGGAGGCTGATTTGGAAGGTTGGTTTTCGTGGGAATGGGAAGTAGTTAATGTGAATCTGCGTCTGTCAGTGTCTCTCCGTGGCCTCATGTTATGTTTGTTATATATAAATAAAATTTTCAATAGCTCCAAATGTCTCTATCGTGCCTCCTTTGAGCCCCACCTTCTTGCTCCTGACATTTTTGTTGGTAGAATAAAAATTAGTCACTGGAAGCATCCTATTTCTTTTAAAATTTTGTCTTTCTAAATTTAATTTGGGAAAACTTCAGTACATACACTGTTATTTATCTCGGACCAATCGACTCCGTCTGAATAAGTGAATCTGTTATCCAAAAAAAAAAAAATAAGTGAATCAGTTCAAAGTTCCAACCATATATAAAAGTATTAAATAAATATGGGTTCGTTTTTTTTTGCAATATTAAATAAATAAGTCAATCAGATAAGTTATCTCCAATAAGTTCGATGTCGTTTTGGAACGAAAATTATGATATTTTTTTAATTTTAATTTATTTCAAGATTATTATAATCTTTATAATTATAATCTTCTAATTTTTCAATTCCAAAATGACATCGTTTTGAAAATAAATGCAGATAATTTATCTGCATTAATTGCATAAATATTTTTCTGATAAATATTATTAAAGTATTTTAACCAATATATTGTTTTGGTCCTTTCGGCTCATTGATAATCAAGTAGAGATGTTAATATGGGTTGAATCTGATCTGTCAATTCATTAATCTATCAAAATTGAGTGGATTGGGTTATATATTTCAACCCATCGATCCGCTTCAATCCGCCCCGTAGGGTTTCAGGTCAAAACGGGTTGGTAGCAGGTTGGCCTGTTGTATTATTTTTTTCTTTCTTTTTTTTATTATTAGGTAATATTTTATTTATCATTAATTTTTTGTAATATTCAATTTTTTTATTCAATTTTAAATGAAAAAATATTATTTTGTATCTATCTCTCTCTTAAAATGACATAATTTTATATCATTTAAAATGACAAATATTTTTTCTTATTTTAAAATTAATAAATCTGGCATGAATCTATTAGCTTTCAAGAATTAAAATAAATAGGATGATATACCTAAATATAGTATATCATACTTAACTTGATGTAAATTAGGACGTAGGTCTCCAATAAATTATCTGACTCATTTACATGTTTATATATCACAAAAAAGTCCATTTTTTACATCTATGATAACATATTTTATAAGAACGTATATAATTTAATATCCTAAATCTATAAAATGTTAAAAATATTTTAATAAATATAAAAGTACTCCTAATTAAGAATAAAATTTTAAAATATTTTTATCCTATTTTATTAAATAGAGAAAGGTTATACTTACAATTTATTTTCTTTTACAACCTCCTAAAACATATCTTAATCGTTGATTTTCGTCAATCTAACTATTATAATTTATTGTGTCACATTTGTTAATTAATTATTAATTCCTAATAAATTGTAACTGTCAGATTGACATAAATCAACGATTAAGATGTGATTGTAAAATGTTGTAAACAAAAATATGTTATAAGTATATGGTTTCTCTATTATTAAATTGAAATCTTAACAAGTTTTAGTTTGACCCAATTTTGCTTAATTTTATAACTGCAACAACAAATGTTCGTTAATAATGCATGACGGGTGAAAGAAGAAGGATAATTCTTAAAAGGTTGGCGCTGGCCACCTTGACCTCAGCTGCTATATATATGTCTCTTGTTATGTGTGTTTGTGAACGGCAATTCATTGTTGTGTAGGAACACGGCGAGGGTTGAAAGATTAACAAAATCGGATTCAAGTTTGTGGGATTTTAAAATTATCGGCTGCTGTTGGCTGAGTTATGGGCGCTGATGCTGTCTTACGTAGTGGTGACTAACATTAGAAAGGCAAACAATTAAAATTAAAGTTGTCTTCTTGAACTTCATTGTTTTGCAAATTTAGGTTGACGCTGATTTTGTGTTACGTAGAGGTGACAACATTATAAAGGCAAACAATTAATATTTGAGTTGTCTTCTTGAATTTTAGTGCTTTGCAAATTGAATTTGTAAATCTTGTTGTTACGATGGATTTAAGTATAAAACTATGGGATGTATATAATATGACACTAAATAATTGATAAGGAATTGGGATAACCACATATAAATTATGGATTCGCTTTTTCTACTGTTAATGTAGATAACTTATCTACATTGAGATCAAAACTATGTCATTTTGAGGCAAAAATTACGTTATTTTTGTAATTATAATATATTTCAAGATTATAACAATTCTTTTCATTATAATTTTTTAATTTTTCAATCCAAAATAATGTTGTTTTGGGAGCAAATATAGATAACTTATCAGAAGGATAAGTTAGGTGGGAATTCTTTGTCCCAATTTTTTTAAAATTAATAATATGATAAAATAAGATAAAATATTTTTAAAAAATTATTAAAGGTATCTTTAATATTTTATTTACAAATTAATGTTTCATTTATTAATGATATTTTTTATATTTTATATAATAAAGATATTTGTATAGGGAAAACTTCACAAATATCCCTAATATTTTTTTTACAATTAAAATTGCCCCTAACCTATCGTTTAAAAGACTCATATGTTTCTGTTAAATTTTATCATATTATGACTGCTCTGCCCTCCATATATATATATATATATATATATATATATATATATATATATATATATATATATGAAAAAATATTTCTCAAGCAGCTTGAGATAAATTTATCTCTTGCTATCCCAAAATTACGTTATTTTATTTATTTATTTTCTTATATTAATTGATTCACCTTTGAATGGTTATTATTTTCTTTTTCACTCTCTTCCTTTATCACCATTGATCTATCTTTGTACAATTATGATTTAGTAGCCAGAGATAAAATTATTTCAAGTAGCTTGATAAACGATAAGTCCATATCTATATATATATATATATATATATATATATATATATATATAGATAAAATCATTTCTGCAGATTCTTTACGTACAGCAATGACAAGTGTATGGTTATGATTCCTCACATTTAATGTTTTTATCCTTTGTATAGTTATGATTCCCCGCATTTAATGCTTTCAAGTATATATATGGCAAGTATTTGATTGTTGTACGTACAGCAGCTGCAGAAATGTAAACCCTATATATATATATATATATATATATATATCAAACTGCATTCATGATTAAGGAAAGATATAGAAATTATGATTTGAATTCTTTACTGTTAATTGAAGGAACAATCCCTTATGAAAAGGATTTGAATCCTTACTAACTAAGTCTTACAAGTTACAACCATTGTTGTTAAAATCTCGATTTATCACTACAATTTTATGTTTTTACGATTTTTTTCATCAAAACGATTTTACTAATATTCTAAACACTTTTACGTTTTTACGATTTTTCACGATTTTTTTACATTACGATTTTATGTTTTACGATTTTTAATCCCCTTTCGATTTTACTTAAGATCTCAATTTTAACAACATTGGTTACAATGGCTAGTTTTGACAAAAACTTATATGGAAAATACTTGTCCTAGGAGAAGTTTCTCCTCATATCACTTTTTGCTCAATTTGCATGCCTTTTTTAAAATTAAAAAAATAAGTGGGCCCCACAAATTAACATAAGTGCAGAAATTGGGTAACTTCTACTACAATAGGAAAAGTTGGAATCCCAACTTATATATATGGGATTTATGATTCTCATTTCACTGGAAAAATATGCTCTCCCGCCGCTGAGACATCGAGATGAGTGTTTCAATTTTTTGTTTGTTTTTTTTTTAAATGTGGACCCCACTGTGTGTATGTATCTGCTGCAAAATTCAAAAATCTACTGTCACATAAGAGATGTAAAACCCTATATATATATATACTCATTTATTATGCCCTCGCCCACTTTAATTATTAATCCATTCATCATTGAACTTTAATTGATTAATTTCATTGTACTAACTCTTCTTATATTCATTTATTCATCTTCTTGCTCATTTATTATCTTTGAGCTTTATTGTCGATCTTTTTTTTAAAGATATTTTGAAATTCATCACTACCAATATGGCTTTAATTTGTATCTTTGTACTTTGAGAGTACTTACCTATTGTAAACACTTCCTTTTTATAAACTTGAGTTGAAAGGATTATGAGACTCATTGAGTAGGAAATGTAGCCAAATATATAAGAAAATTTGGAGACATTCATGAGGTTGCCAAAACCCCATAAATTTTGTGGATTGTAAAAGTTTGTCAAGCATTCGCACATGAAGTTTGACCGTTAGTGACAGAGTTGATCTAGCGGCTTCAAACTCGATGTAGATAACAAATGGTGGTACCCGAACCATGATATATCTAGTTTGCAATTTTTCTAACCTTCAACTCTTTATTTCAATCATTGAATTGCTTTATTTGATTGTGCTTGTTTGTTCACTAGCTTATCTATTGACCACACACTTATATCTTCACTTATAATTAATTGTGCTAAACCAAAAATTGACGAAATATGTTTTCAAAATATCAATGAGATATTTTACGAAAAGATTTTATAAAATTCAATTCACCTCCTAATTTTGAAGACTCTTGTCTAACATTTAGTGATTACATTATTATTTACTTACAAATACTCTAACAAGTTAAGTGAAATATCAAAAAACGAAAATTAGACTTTAAAATTTTAATTTGATACATTTGTGGTGGAAAAAAATATTTTATTATTATATTTATGAGAAAAATATTTTTCCTGCACCAGAAGATAAAAATATCTTCCACAATTCCAAAATAATGCCATTTTGATATATAGGAAAAAAATACAAGTTATTTTACTTTCTACTTTTATTATGAATTTTATTAAAATATCATTTATTTTTTGCCCAATCCAAAATGATATCATTTTAGAATTATAAGAAATGAGTTTATTTTCTGTCAAGAAAAAAAGGTTAATCTCTATATTTAATAATGTATTATTATATTATTTAATAGC